AAAGGAGTTCTTATATTAAAATTAAAATATGTAGAAAAAGTACGAAAAGATTGTCGCCGCTATGGGAATCGAACTCACGTCTTCGACATTCGCGGCCTGACGCTTTAACCACTGAGCTAACCACCCACTGATTGCCACACCCTTTTGAGTTCTTATATGTTAAAAATCAATTGAAATTATGTTTCAACAAATTGTAATAAACTCGAATAAACTTTGTACAATTGAAACTTCTTGTCTTATCCGTCCTTGCGAAATTTGTACCCGTCGCTACCCGTTAGTACAAAATTCCTCTATTTTAATTAAATACCAGACACAAATTTCTCAGATATTCATTATTACCCTTTGCTTCATTTCTTTAACAAATAGAATTCCAAACTCAATTCTCTTGAATAACAAACGTAGCTTCAGTGAAGAATAATTAAGGTTAGAATTTTAAATAAAGTATACAAATTCAGCAACATACTCTATGTTGTGTATTTTACCAACTAAGAACTTCTTATAACTTTTCTGGGGTAATAATTTTTGAGATTTTTGAAGTTACACTTCTTTTGGCGCGTTTTGTAAAATTATGAATAAATTGTATACGACTACCCTCAAAAAGTAACGTGATGTTTCGTAACCAGTTTAATCTTGGTTATTACAACTTTTTGACATTTACCAAAAATTACAAGTTATTGAAATAAACCGTGAATTCCGTGCGTACCTTCGCATAGCATATGCGATGGTACGCACCATGCATACACATAGTTTTTTACTAAGTTACCAATGTTATAATTATTATATTAGAGAGCGATACCGGATACACTTTATCAATTTACTCATATAAATGGGATGCTTCAAATGTGCTTATTGTGTTTATCTTGAAGAAAGAATATGTTTGTAGAGAATCATTACGATAGTTTAAATCTAACTTCACCTATTTAATCAGTCATACAATTACTGTAGTGATCGAATGCTATGACAATATGATGAAAACAATTCGTTACATTCTTCCAACAATTTTATTCCTTATTTTTACGGTTACGACGTAGTTGGAAAATTACTCAGATTTCCCCAGTCGCTTTTCCGGCTTCTTCAAACATTGACAAAGAGTATTGAGCTGGACTTCAGCGCCGAGACAATCGTACTTAACTTTTCGACTTTAGTGATTCCATTGTCGATTCTTATTTAATAATAACGGGAAGGAGACTGAAGAAATTTCTCATAACTTTTTTTATCATAAATTTTTTAGCAGCCAGAATCGCTAAAATTTTGCAAGTAGCCAGATGTAAGCCAATGTTTAAGTAGTAATGCATACTCTTCTGGCATGTCATTCTCTTTTAACTTCCTAGTTACAATTGAGATGGAATCTTATAATGGCATGTATATAAAGACTGGACATCATAACTGACCATTGTTTCGTGTTCAGCAAGACATACTTGTTTTATGTCACTAACAAAATGGAAATAATTTTTTATGTGAGAGAGTGTGATGAGATGTGTCCTTGTGTGAGAGAGAACTTTTACTAGGTGTTGATCCAGTTTGTAAGTGGCGGAAGTATTGGGTTACAATAGCGCGTAAAGGTGCGTTCGGCTTGTGTGCTTTATAGGTAACCCATACAATTAAGGGTGTTTTGGAAGGTGTCGTCGATTTCACGTCCGGAGTATTTTGCTGGCTGGTTGACTTAAGCGTTTAGTGGTGAGGTCTGTTTTAATCTTTTTGTGCGTGCTTACATCCGATAACAGTTCTTCTTGTTTTAAATTATAATGTGAGATTTTCATTACCACCGTAGCATTTTCTTTATCTATAGAGAAAGTGCAACTTTGGTTAAAACTATTTATTTTTGCGTACGTTACTGAAAGCAGTAAATTTCACATTAAGTAATTAATAAAACGTCATTATGAACATTAGATTTCGGCAATGAACTTCTACGTGACAAATACTAAATATCTTGTCGTATGCCCTCTAAATTTTCCTTTTCATTGTTGCTTTTATATAAACTGTCCTCATCACTACAAATTATTTCTTCATAAAGGATTCGCGACGTTGTTACGAAATTTACATCTTTTGATTAAATTTCTGGTAGATTCATCCAGTTTTTTTTTGTGACAGATTGTAGACCGCGCGAAATCTATTATCTGTGTCAGTGGTCAACAGTTGCGTTTCGTTTATGCGTTGCGACGATCGTTTAACATTTGATTTTTTAAGTTTTGGCATTTTTAATAAGCTTATTTTTGTATTGTTTATATTTAGTGGTTTCGTGCTCTTCTAATTTGTCCATGCAGTTTTTGTAATCAAGTGCCGTTAAAATTGATAATTTTAACGGCACTTGATTACAAATTGGACATGAATCTAACTTTACGGCTTCATCGCGTTTATTTTAAACTTTACTTCTCGAGGTTTTAAACCCTTTATAGCTTTTATGGTAACGGGATAGACAGATGGCTGCCGCCTATGGACATTTGCTACACCTATAAGGTTGCAGATGCGTTGTCACCTTTAAATAAAGTGGGCCCCGGCTACCTCTATCACAGTCTTTTGTGAGGTCGTGGTACTTAACTGGACGGAACTGCCTATTTGTGCAACAGCCGAAACTGTTGCGAAGCTGTTGCATCAGTTACAACTAAATTAGTTACATTTACTTATTCATTCGGTTATTGCTGCCTTGATATTGCTGTGAATGTATTAATTTTTAAATTTACAGCATTTAATTTACATTTTGTTAAATTGAACAGTATCTTACTACAATTTTCTCTTGATAAGTCACTGTAATCTCACTTTTAATTACTTAAAACTTTAATTAGCCATAAAGGATTCTATAACTATGAAGTTTCACTTCTTTGTGATGTCATTCACGGCATTTTATTGTAATTTCCTAACACTGTATTCTAAATTCGTAACACTTTTGTCATGGATAAAAATAAATGTTTTCCATATCTTGGCATAGAATGTCGGCGCTGTGGCGACTGAATTTGATATTTTTCTCTGTCATCCCGTTTCGGATGCCAGCTGACACCCTGCTTCTTATAAATTCAGAATTATTGCAACCTAATTCGTTTCGCGTCGTGTTTATTTCGAGAATTATCCGTTTGGAAATCACGATAAAATATTGCATGAAGGTACAAAATAATTTGAAAACATTAAACAAGTTTTTTGGACTTATTTTTGGACATTAAACAGGGTTTTTGGACTATTTTTATATTAAAAATATTCTAGCATCAATGTTTGTAGTTACCCTTGATTGGAGGTTTAAATTGATACCAAATGATATTAAACGTACATTTCTAACGATCTACGTATAAAATAAAGTTATGATGACTGAACTGATAATATGCTTCTACAAAAAACTTCTCCTATTCTCTATTAACGTTCAAAGTTATATTCTTTAAAAATGTTACAGGAGGAATAGGTTCTTACCTGAGCTATGTCTCGGGAAGATTGAAAAATATTAGAAGAAGTTGACGATTGGATATATAGAGAAACAAAACCCTGTTTTTTCTTATATGTAGGTACACCTTAAAAGTACACATTTTCTTATACATCAGAAGGGTAGAACGTGAAATTGGTTTCAAATTTAGTATCATTATTATTTGTGATATATCACATTAACATTCCGACTTGTAAACATAATTTTGTTTCCCAATCTCCCAATTTTTTCAAACGCAGAACATTCAATCAACTTGTAGATCTTGCACTACTAATTAAATTATTGAACGCTTGGTGTTGTATTACGTTAAATTTGTATATCTCATTTTAATTTGAAGAGCATTATTAGTTAATTACTCAACCGAGACAAAGGCTTTCAGTATTCATTATGTTAAGACACTAATTAAAACCTAGACCGATATTGGTAAACTTTATTAATCTTAGAAATAAAAATCTCTTATTTCGATATGTTTCTTGATGCAATTTCGAGCCAAACTTAAGCAGAAACTGGCAAAGGTATTTTAACACTTTTAGTTTGAAAGGGTGTGAAACTCGACTAAAATGAAAAATATGGTATCTTTTAAACAGATTTTTTTCTGATAAGATTCGATAGTACTTATCTAGCCATCCAGAGCTATATATAAGGCTTTTTTAAAGTTACAAGTTCCATTTACCCAGGATGCAAAGCCAATTTCTCAGGGCTCAAAGTCCGTAACTACGGAACAAACGTCAATCAGAATTTCATGATTATTATATTATATTATTTATCATATAAATAAAAGTACATTTATGTTGTTTGTGTCAAAAATGCAATTGTTATGACTTTTGTCTGTCTGTTATTTTTGAAATATATTTATGAATTGCACAAATATATCTCCTTCATATTTATGAAATTCCAAATTTTGCGTTCAAAACGCAAAAAATTATATGTTTTGACATTATTAATATAGACATTGTTAAAAAAAGTATCGTATAGATATCTCATTATCTATAACAGCTTCTGTCAATAGGTAAGCTATACATGATTAGACAAGTGAAAGGACATAGGCCGCCTCTCTGTCAAAGGTAATTGTAGTACCGTGATACGCAATTTTTCCGTGATACACACAGTTAGGTTTATAGAAAGACATTTCTTCTTACATATACTCGTAAGTTAGGTGTAGCTATAAAATTAATGTGTTTATTATTATACTAATCCACTACAAATTGCTAGTTGATGAAATCGAAATCATGAGGCCGGAAATATTGAGGCGTTCACGCAGCGTTCTATTATCGCGTAGTACGTCTGCATCTAAGGCTATCGCGGTGGCTTCGTTTTTATGGTGAAGGTCCGGGATATAACAGTGCCATATTACGCTCGACATAGTCTTAAATGAGGTGGCATCGGACTGCTCAGTATTCGTCCGATGGCTGGGACAGCAAGAAGTAGCCACGACTGAGACAACGGGAGACGAAGGGCTTCCCACCCATCGTAGTGGAAAACTTTGCTACCTGGGCAACCCACTTTGTCCTAGTTAGGAGTAAACTAGGCCGCACAGCGAGCGACGTCGGTTCAGCAAAGGGGCACCCCTTCAGGTATCTCTGTAGTGGCGTTAGTGGCGGTCAGAACGGGTCTGGGCGAAGCTGCGGTGGTTGTGTAGGTAATAGTAGCTATATTTGGTGGCATGGTGGTCCATGCAATGGTCGCATACGATGTAATTCAGGACGCGCCAGCCGTCGCGTCTATTTAGGACGCGGTTCGAGCGGTGGTCTGGAGAATTTCTGGTGAGGAAGATTATGGTGATCTTGGCGGCTGGGAGTGTCGGCATTTCAGCTGCAATTTTCAATTGGTCGTCTTGCAGTGAGGTCTAGGAAGCCGATGTGCTTGGCTTTTAACGGAAAAATTGATCACTGAATGACTTAGGCTACTTTAATTTTAGAAAAAGAATTAGAAGCTATAAAATTGTGACCGAATATTCTCAGCTTTCTTGGTAAATAGATCCACTTGTGGGAAATATGTTGTTCTATTTCACAACATCAACTAATAAGATCCTACTAAAAGTTTTAATAAATATTTTTTTTTTGATTCGTGAATTGAACAAACTAGAATCAGATTGACGAAGTTGCGAGAAAATGTATCTGACTACCACTATCAGCTACTCGTAATTAGGTAACCAAAATGTGCTGTTAATTATTCAACTGTGGTTTTAATATCATATGTAACATGGAAAATGAAGTATGCTAACAGTTTAATACATAAAGATTAATAAGACTGAAGAAATTTCTTTAAAATGTGGTAAGGCCACTTCGCTGTTACACAAATGGGCAGGTCCGTCCGGATAAGTAACACGAGTTTACAGAAGACCGGCGTGAAATGGAAGTATTATACTTAAGCATTTCATCTAAGGTAACCGGGGCCCGCTTTAATGGAAGGTGGCAACACATCTGCAATCCTACGGATGTTGTCCATTGGCGGTTATCACCGAACATCAGGTGAATCGCTTGCAATCTTCTCCCATAAAAACGTAATGTTTAATAACTTTATTGAGATTGTGTCAGCATCAGTTACCTACTCCCTAGTACGACACACTGTTTCTTCAAGTGACCTCGAACCACCGCTCAGCTATGAATACGGCCCACCCTATACTGTATTATCTGTGCGTCTATTTGTCAGCGAGGTTTTTATGTGAAAGTATTTTTATGATGTTATTCGTTTCTAGCCTTTATGCAGACGTAGCTTCCATAAATCAATATAGGGGAATAAACTTGGCATATCTCTTCACATTTAATAAATTAATCTGCACTAATAATGAAGAAGCATGATCTTTAAAATAGGTAAATATCAGTAAAATAGACTATGTATTTTAGGGACTCTATTGCGTTTAATTAAAAATTCGCGAACGTTTGAATACCATTATGGTATTCATAGGTCGGAGAGAAGTTATGAGTTGTGTTGTATCGATGACAATATGTTTATCGCACATATTACGCTGTACTACTGCTCTGGTAGGGCCACGCAACAGCGTCTGCTGTTTCACGAATTGGCAGGCTCGTGCGGATTAATACCACGGCCTCACAGACGACCGGCGTGTAGTGGAATAATTAAACTTTCGCGTTTCGACTGGTGAGTGAGGTAGCCGGAGCCCACTCTTTATAACTTGTTAACGCGTCAGTAAGCCATCGGATGTTGTAGATAAGCATGGGAGGTGGTCATTTAACTTCAGGTGAAACACCTACTCCCCACCTCTTCAAAAAAAAAGCATAAATACTTTAGTCACCAAAGTATTATTATATAATTGTAATGTCTTTTATATTATAAAAACAATAAAACACTGTATATATAAAATTATGTATTCTATTCATTCGTTGATTGTCTCTTAAATGGTCAGTTTTAAAACAGTAACAATATTATATTATAGTGGAATCAATGAAATTAGCATTGCTTTATATTCCAGAAGATTATCAGAAGTGCTTTGCGTAGTATGCCAGCGACAATAAACTAAAACTAAGATCATAAATTTCCTCAACGATCGCAATAAGTCGAAACAAATCGAGGACTGCAGTTTCCATTTTATACAAAGGCGGTGCTTTAAAATTTGGAATGGGCTGGTAGCCAAGCACCAAGATTAGACCCCTATCTTTAGTAATAACTACAGTTCTTTCAGAGATATAAAAAGATTCTTTGATGACAATTAGAAGACAAGCCTACAACAATAAAAACGTAGATCAGATTTATACTGGATCAGGTGCTTTCTCGTGACATTCAGTTTTTATTATTGATATTAACAACAAACTATTCAGATGTTTTTCTTGTAATATTGACAAATATGATTAGATTCGAACCTACATAAATTATGGTCATATATAAAATATTGAACATTAATAATACGTACCTACATTAAAAATAGGCATGCTATTAAATATGCATTTAATTTAAAGTTTAATATGCATTTAATTCAAGCTATTTTAAAAGTAGGAACGTTTTTATTAAAGATATTCAAGTGACATTAATTTGTAAAGCTCATTGATATTCGGTTGAAGCATTTGGGGCCAATAAAGTTTAAATAAGTGTCAATAAAATCTAAAAAGTAATTTTATTTATACTGCAATTATTATTTGCCACTGTTGGTTATATTTCTCTAACAATAAACGTAAGTATATTATATATCGCATTTTTATACAAGTTAAGCCCAGAAAATCTTATCGTACTACATAGCTTATGCAAAACAGGATTTCCAGTGCAGCAAGCAGCTTTTAGATAACACTATGACTTTTTGGAACACTTAAACGCAAGTTTACTGTTTAATGTGCAGACGAACTATTATTGTAACACTTGATGAGCCAAAATCATGCTATGTCAGAAGTAGTTCATTGGTTTAATGCTAATAATTTACTGTTAAATTGCAATAAAAACAAAATTTTCGACACCTAATGTTAAACACTTGGGTGGTACCATTGTACTACTTATAAATGGGGACGAGTTAGGCCTTGTAATACTCATTACGTGATGGCTTAGCATTTGAAATTGCAATAACCAATGTGATGATTTTAGTTACACCTGATTTTAATTTTTTTTTTTGAGTATATTGAATTAAAAATAACCGCCCGCACACTGAGCTATCACGGCTCTACGGTTCGACTTATACCGAGTTATTATTAACCCTCTATATTTTTTTTCTCATTATATAAAAAAAAAATGAAATAGGGCTTCTTCGACTTAAACGCTCGAATTTTTCAGATCAAACTATAACTTGAACAATTATTAGCTAAATGATAAATTAATGTATAGCTACAGTGGCGACATCTAACTAGTTTCTTTCTGTAAAATACCTGACGTCGAAAGTCTGTTTAATTAGAAGGGTTACTGTTACCTCTTTATGTGAGGCAGGATTATTGACGTCGATGGCTGTATAAATTGGATAGGAACGTGCGTCTTGTGTAAATGTAACCCACATCAAACGGAATTGTCTGTCCAGGCGTCAATCGATTAATGCTTGTTAACACAACGCCTCGTAAGTGGAATGTGATATTCGTGTCGAATTAGGTCCTGTTCCGTCCGTTCCGTACTATACTACGTGTCATATTATAGAATACCATGACACGTAGTATACTACGGGACGGATGCAACACATAGGTGTTGAATTGACTTAGAAAGTTGTTAAGATGGCAAAGATTAGTAAAAAAAAGTGTGTACGCATGAAAGAATTTATGTTTAGCGTAACAATAGAAAAATAACTATAAATTTAAAACCCTGTGCCAATAATCTTTGTTTGTGAAAAATATAGTAAATGCAAGTTGATAACGGTTTAATTAAATAGCTTGGAATTATTGAAAAAATGTCAAAAAGTTGTAACGGTTGTCATGGTAATACCGAGAAGTTTACTGAAGTTGGTAGCTTCCATCTTCATCATGTTGCTGGCTGTCATAATGCGCGCGCATCGTGATAAATTTTATGCTCACATTTTTTTTCAAACGCGCCAAAAAAGTATAACTTCAAAAACGTTCATTCCGCACCACCGAAGCCAATGAATGTATTTGCGCCTAAATGGGCTAAAGCAACATAATGTTGACAAATCGGTATGAATTCTTCGTCGTTTTAAACACTGCCCGCCGTTTCCACCACCAAGTTCTTTTCACGTCAGGTTTCTGCTTTTAAATTTTACTGGGCACAGTATTATCGTTAAATGGTCTTTAGCATGGCAAGGTTTTTTTTAAGTATTTACATGGTTGGCGTGACGAGCAAGCCGCTGACCTGATATTAAGTAATAACCACCGCTCATGGACATTTGCAACACTTGTACGGTTGCAAATGCGTTGCCACCTTTTAGTAAAGTGGGCCCAGGTTACCTCACTCACAAAACGAAACACAGAAGCATAATAAATTACGGCAGCAACGGGAAATTCCGTTCAGGTGTCAATCGATTAAGGCTCGTTAACAACACCACGTAAGGGACAGTAATTGTCAGGTTTATTGGCTTATTTCGATAGCATTGTACGTAGTGGAGTACTCCAAACTACAATTGTTAACCGCAGACTAGTAGTGATACAACTTCGGTCCTAGAAATGTTTAAATTTTAAAATTTCATTAACATTATTTAATAATCCTAAAAGAGAAACCTCATCATATGCAACAAACTTAAAGGTTTGAAAGAAAGTTAATTAATTCTGGTTTATTACGATTTTTTAAAAACATTATTACATTTTTAGTAGCGTAATTGTTAAGGCTTAAAGATAAATAATCAATGACCCTCATAATGTTGTCTGTTCACCGATGTCCAAATAAATTTCATTTGTTTAACTATTTAAATATAAATATTTTTAAGGCACATTTTTACACAACGCTCTATAGTCCCAAAATAAGCAACGTATGTACTAAAGGTACTAGAAAACTGATAAATATACTTAAACATACTTTTCTTTTGTAAATAAATACATATGGTACATACCCAGACACTGGAAAAACACTATTTTAATCACACAACATTTTTCGTACACTACCCACTACACCATTCGGGTCGGGTTTCACCTAAATTAAGCAAAAAAATCATTATCAACCTATCCCCAATAGCCTATTACAGTTGAATAAATGTATAGAACTCTCCTTTATGTTCTTCTATATTTATCACCGACAAAATAAATTAACGTTGAAACCATAACTCGATCTATTATATCCTACGAACTTGATCACATATTGGTAAAATAAAAATGGAGGTCTTTTAACAAAAGGGCTTTAATAATTGCACCTATCTTGTGTCGGACGTGGCATTTGTTATACTGAGCAAATGGATCGTACGAGAGATGGTGATTATTACGTAAGTTCTCTGGCCCA